AATACAGTGAACTCTCGTTAGTGTGAGGTTAATGTTGCGTTCAACAAATGTTGACAAATTTTTGAACAAATTTCAAAAATGTGAATAAAAGTGTTGGGCTTAAGTTCAAGTTTTCAAGTGAGCACTGTGCGGTTTAATTGCATTAAAACTCATGTCCTTTACCAAATTTACTTATATTATTAGGTGGACAATATTTTTACAAAAAATTTACATTCACATGATACAGTCACTGTCACTGTATCATGTACCATGAACTAAAGTTTAACTCAAGTTTATGAGAATCCATCCATTTCATCGTTTTAAATCAAAAAGGACATTCTCTTTGACATTATATGGCGTGAAAATTTACCACAAAAACTCTTACTCAATTCCATTTATTACATACAATCTGCTTGTTGAAACATTCGATTTTTCACATCGAATTTTCTTCCATAATTGGAATCGTTTTCTTCAATCTAGGGCAGTAAAATCAACAAGTAAATAACGAACTACTATTATATGCACGAGAAGTCATTGCACGATTTGCCATTCGGTCTAACAATGGAGTTAGATCTTGATTCTGATCGTTACAGCCACATGATTACGAAATTTTGTGTCATCGACTTGAAGATAAGGATAAGGAGATATATAATTTCTTACAAGTGTCGCAAATTACATTACACGTAACTATATCATACCATAGGTCGAAAGATATTTCGCATCCAGATATTATGTAGATTTATTGGAAATATTCTTTAAAATACCAATTCCGATATATATAATAAGTTTATATATATAATGAGAGGAGATATTTATAATAAGAGGGGATGTAGAACTGCGACAATCGGGTCTGCTGTGCCCCCTTCTGGGTTTAGACTAAGTCTCTAGGCACTGTTGCGTCAATAAAAAGTACTATAGAGTCTACTCAACAGAGATTTATTGCCTTTTCCGTAAGGATATACATTCCCAGCAGTCTATTCCGTTTGTGCACTAGCGCAGGGCATTCTAAACTACACATGTGGCTGATTCTTCTTCTCTTCGCAGAATCTACAGTTTACATCCTTATAGGTATATGCCCATATATAATTAAATAGGAATTATAATTATTGTATATAAAAAAATTCCATATTTAGAAATGTTTCAATGAACCAACAAAATATTTAAAAAATAGTTGTAGGATTATACCGGAAACACTATTACTTAATAAATGCGTAATTAATTCATCAGCAATTAGTGAAAGCGGCATGAAAAAATAAAAAAAGTTGAAGCGAACCAGACTTTGTTCTGTGGTTTATTGAATAACAAAATATAAAAGGTTATTTGTGTGTATTAATTTTTAAGTGGTATAGTGCAAATTACCGCATCATAATTTGTTATACATGCAGCACACTCCATTGTCGATCATTATACCATGTAATCCGCACCAACTCTTAAGTGCATGCCATTTATTTGGTTGTGTAGCCGAACCTTAGGGGAAGAAAAAATCGCATCATATGAATTATTATTTCATAATTTATTTGTGTTTCATTTAAGGGGTGAGAAAGTCAAGAGTTGCTTGGGAGTTTTAGTTTAGTTTTGCGGCTTCGAGAAAAAAATTTTATTATGCGAACAGTGGGATAATGGATTTATTATATTTGTTAGAAATCACCAACTGGAACTAAATTTGAAAGTATGAAATTAAACAACGAAATGAGATTGTTGCGCTTCAAAATGCATTGCTAAGGAGGATTGTTAGCATTTATAATAAATTCTATCATAACTTCAATTGAAGGAGTCTTCTGCCGGTTGATTTAGGCATATAGATCTTGTTCAGCGCATATTCTATTCGGCTTAATAATATGAATATAGTAAAAAATATATATCTGGTTTTCAATAAATAGTGGATGTGTATTCAAGTTCATCGCATTGCGACCGTCCGTCCTATATCTCTTTTTGATCTCGGCATAACATATATGTACATACTTTTTAATCATGTAATCTCGGATGCTTTGCTTCTTATCGAAACTAAATATTAAAAAAAACATGATTAAAGCAAAATATTTGAACATTTGTTTATCTATTGTAAATGATCAGCCCAGTGAAGCGTTTAAGTACGCATATTATTATGTAAAGGAGGGAGGACGAACGTCGTCAGCATGCCTCAACTGTCATTGGAATAATAGTAGGAAATCTCAATTGATTTTGTCTTTTTTATAAAAGAGAGTATAGTATAGTATAGTATAGTATAGTCGATTTGTTATTTATATGTGTAAACGCTCAACTGTAAGCTGTAAACGATACCAAATATCAAGGAAGGGCTAAATTAAAAATACACAAGCGAAATTTAAAGTACATGTGTACATAGGGATTTAATTTTTTTCCATTTTTCCTTTATTCTATTTCGCAATTTTACATTTAATTGAAATTTTTGTTTTTTAATGACATGAAGCTGAAGCTGAAGCAGGGAGTATATTTTAAAATGCGACAACAGCGCTGATTATTACGGCAACAAGACATCGACATCGACATCGATATCGGCAACGTCTACGACACTAACAACGACAACGAATTGACATTTTTTTGGGGAGGTTTTTCAAAATTCTGCTCTTATAATCATCCATGCGCATATATATTTTGTTTTTGGTTCCCAGGTTTTAAAAAGTTTTCGACTGTTGTTTTCAACCCTTTGGGCGGTTGTGTACACACAAACCAAATACATAACATAGAATAATTAAATAAGTCAGTCACGGGTCGGTATAAACTTAATGCCATGTACTCGTATACCTATATGATGTTGAGCTTTTCTGATTTTCAGAACAATAGATTTTCTTCATAAAAATCTATCGATTAAGCTCTATTATTGTTTTAATTAATTATTTAAGAAAAGAACAACATTTCTTTTTAATTTCTAAATTAAAACGAGGGGCAACCTCGAGTTCAATATTAAGTTTCTGTACTCTAGCTTAGTAATAAAATCTGTTTATTGGTTTAATATTTTTCACAGCAAATGTGACAGTTCCTAACAAATTATAAAACTCAACTCACACAAATCGAAAACGAACGCAAACACAATGTAGGCTTTCGAAATATGAAACTTCAGTTATACGAATAGTAGCTAAAAACCTGTAAAATAATAATTACATATGATATGATAAAAGAAGTATAAGAAGAACTCAAAGAATAAAAATTCAACAGTAATCTATGTTATATCGCGGGAACATACCTTATTGTTTCTGTAAAAATTGTCGATTTAAAGTAATCCATATATCTTTATGTTTTTACATAACATAAGAAACGCTTGTAGTATCAAGATCTCAGTTAATCAAAAAGTTAAGAATTCTTTTAATGGTATTAAGTATATGAGAAGACCAACAATTTTTATAAATATTGGAATATTGAAGTTAAGCACTCGTATAACATACATATGATAAAGTCGTATTAAAAAGCAGTAAAAACGATCGAGTTCGAAACATTCTGTATCGAAATAGAATTTATAATATCACTGATATGGTGAAAGCAGTCCTACCTTGTCTACAAACTCCAATGGTAAACTACGAGGTTCATATCTTCTGAAAATAAGATGAGTTATTAAACTTTAAATTTGTTTAATGATTTTATTGTTTATTTTATTATTTATCAACAAAAAACAATAAACAATAAAATCATTAAGATGATTTATATTGAAATGAATGACACACACAATAATGTTTACTACGAATTCATATATATGGTATAAGCAAGGATTAGAGGAGGAATTTCGAACTTTATAATATGTGTATACTGCATTCAAGCTGGGTGTGCTATGGTCAAATAATAATTGAATGTATAGGTTAATGATAAATAAATGCCGAGTGCTTTTGTGATGAAAACTCTGATGTTAAAGTCTACTTCCAGTAATAAGATATTTTAAATTATATAAATAATATCGGGTGTTTATTATCGGGTATTAATGAAATTTTTTTAATATAATTTGATAGGTAATTTGATGGCATTTATTTTTTGAATATGATTTTCGGGATATGTCCGCCGTGGCTATAAGTTACATGGTCCAATCGATCAGTCCAATTTTTGACTATTTTTTGCAATAAATGTGGTCTTATAGCGCCAATGGTTTCATAAACATTGACTTCCAATGCTTTAAGAGTTGCTGGTTTGTCGGCATAAGCTTAACCTGATAATTACTTAACATAGCCCCATGGTAATGGCTTATTGCATAGGCTTAGACCTTTTGTGCACTGCGACCAGCTTGATCTATTGTGCACCTAACTTAGCCAAATAAAAAGTAAACGAGAGGTGTTAAATCGCACGAACGAGGGTGCAATTAACAGCACCACTTCTAGAAATAAAGTTGTTACCAAATTGATTTTGCAATAAATCGATTGATAAGTGCGCTGGATGGCAAGTTGCACCGTCTGTACGGCCGTTCGAACCAAATGTCATTGTTGTTAAACTAATTAATTTTTGGCAACAAAAATTCAGTAAGTATGGGTGATAACGCTCTTCATTCACCGTAATAGCAGCTCCTTCCTCATTTCAAACGAAATAAAGACTAATGATGCCGCCAGCGTGTAAACCGCACCAAACAGTCAATTTTACTGGATGTAATGGTGATTCCATTATTTTCGCTCCATAAACGGCAATTTTGTTTCTTGACGTAGCCTTTATGTTGTTCACCGTAAAATGGACGAAGTGCTCTATGAACTTCGCGAATAGATTTATTTTTTTCAAAGTAAATAGTTATCTACTATTTCAAAACGTTGTTCTAGCGTAAGACGATTTATGATGAATTGCCAAACATTAGTGAAAAGACAGTTTGCTGTCAAACCATAGTTATCGATATCGATTGTTTTCTTGCACCTAAAAAATTAAGTACATTTTTTTAGCATTTGTCTAAAGATGAATTCTTGTAACGTATGCAACGCATAAATTTGATTTACTTCATTTCTGAAATATCTACACTTTAGAATTATAAAATTCTATTTTTAATTTTAATGAATTATCTTCAAAATGAATTATGTTATTTTTTTTTTTGTTTTTTATAGGTTTAACGCGACCGGCAATCTATCCATTTTCTTCAAGTCAGTATCCCTACCCAATCCTGAGTCCGGATATGTCGCAAGTAGCGTCGTGGTAAGAAACTTAATTCTATCCAATATTAGTTACATTAATGATTAAATTAATTACTTATTTCTAGGCACACGCCATCGGTGTATTCCGCTGCATCGACTTTTAGAAACCCATATCCATCTTCGTTACCCATTAATACGACAATACCAAGGTAATTCGAAATGGAATAATTGAAAAACAAATTTGTGGAAATTAAATGTTGAATATTTAGTCGAATTATATAAAAAACCCCAGTCCTTTGAAAAATAACTATAATCGAATTATATATATAAATCTTAATGTTTATAGAAATTTTTTATAAGAGCTTAAATTAGAAAAAAGGGTTAAGAGATCTAAAGACATAATTAGTTCATTTGAAATCCTTAAATCACAGATTTAAACTGACTTTACTTGTGTGTGTTTTGTTATTATTATCAATAATGCATATCTTTAACAGTGATTTCCCGTTTCGATTTTCGCCAAGTTTGATGCCTTCAGTTCATAGTTCACCTCATCACGTGCTTAACTCGCATCCTGCTGTCGTAACGCCTGGACCAAAGCAGGACTGTGGCCAGGATTCGACGACGAATCATCGATTTTCGAGGTAAGTGCTAACAAAATTAATTTATGAGTAAATGATTTATGAGTAAATATACCTTCATTAATTCAAATGAATTAAATTTAGGCTATTAAATTTATTTTTTTTTTAATTCGGTGGTTTCTTAGTTCAACTTTTTGTTACATTATCAACCTTTATATCATTCTCAGCTTTCGTTTTTTTAACATACGCCATATTTGCTTTCAAGCGAATAAAATTAAAAAAGAGTAAGTTTCTTATAGGTTTCTCTTTCTAATAACGCCTGCGCTCCACTTATACCATGTCGTCTTGGTGGTTACGTTTCTTTCCTTTTGTGAAGTGGGAAAGCTTTTTCTATTACAGGCACAGGCAGGCAAAAGTTTATTTTATTTTGGGTCGCACGTATTTCGCATGCAAATACTAAGAAAACGATGTATAAAAAAAAACCAACCTTCTGAAGTAGGTTTAAATTTCGTATTAAAAAAAGTACACCCAAATCTCAAAATTTAAGTAGGAACTGTATATATTTTTGTATATTTTTGAAGCTTTATACAACTACCAATAACAATAAGCAATCATAAAAAATTAGTTAAACAATAATTATATGTAAGCAGATATAATATAATTTCAAATTTCAAATTAAAATCTTGAATAGCAAAAAAAAAGAACAAATGTTAATACTTCAGTTGAGAAAACTTAACGCAATCATCATATTGCGTCCAAGTTTAGATTTTTTAGTTCAGTTTTAGTACAACGTAGTACAACTAATGTAGAAAACATTTGCTACGCGTTGTTAGGTGTCGCTGTTCACCATTGCTCTGTGTATGGAATGAAACATTCGCAATAGAACTTCAGATTCTATGTAAAAGCAATGACACCAACCACAATTTGATAAATTTTATTGATATATGTACAGTATAAATTCACTATTAAATTACTGCAATTGCTCATTTGTATGTGAGATGGCGCTATTAGTTAAAAAATTATATTTGATTGTAACTTTCTAATTATTCAAATGCGGCTCGAAAGAAAATTTTTTAGGGCAAAGGACCTAGCAGTTCAGTTCCTTATTCTTAAATAACTTTAAAATTAATTTCAATGTTAACTCAAAAATAATTAAATATCTAATTTTTGTGTTGTATAATAAATATTATTAACATGTCGTAAGTCAGTGGCGCACAGAAAATAGTACAGAATTTTTTTGATTAAGCCATTTCACAATTTGAGAAATAGGTTAGGTTCAATTGGACAATATTTTTTTAACATTTGTAACTATTAAAAAGGAATTAAATGAAGCAAACAGTTGCGAAAATATACTTCGGACATAAATACACCACGATAAATTATGACCATGCCATAAGATCTGGACATATTGCAATTGTCTTAGATATGTTCCAAATATGATTCCATAGGGCTATTCAGGCTAGTTTCCATTCCGTTTAGAGATTTATTACAATCAATAGCTGTTGTTGAACTAAATTCAAGAATTTTGATGCGAAGGGAGTGTCTGATAGCATAAATATATTTCTACATAATATTATCTACACCCAAGCAAGTTGTGGATCATCCAACAGCTATAATTTTACAAATGACTAGCTGCTTAAATAAAACTTTACCGCCCAGTTGTCTACATTACAGTTGTTAGTATAAATGGTTAAACTCAATTCTACTGAGAGACTTACCGACAACTAGATAGGATCAATATTTGATGGGAAGAAATCAAAACGTTGGACTTCCATAAAAAATAGTTTCAGCATCTAAGTGATATCGAAATCAGCACTGAGTTGTAATTTGTTAAGCATCGACAGTATAAAGATTTGACTAAAACCAGCCACTGAACTTTAATACTTATGAAATTGTATAATTATAATATTGGTCTTATGGACAGTTGATTAAAACCATTCGATCATACTAGGTTGTAGTCCCCAACTCTTACAAATAGCTTACGTAGAAGTATCGAAATGGTAACTTACCGCTTCCGAAGATATTTTGTCTTTGAAAATATGCGTTAATTTTAGTATTTTATATTCGTTTTTTTTGTAGGAGGAAAACACAAAAATATGTACGCGTATGTAAGAGATAAGAAAAAACTAAATAATATTTTTACATATTATTGCTTTCTCCTGCAATTTCTGAAATTGATTTAATTGTATGTAATATATACTTGGAACTTAAGTACAAAGAATTTTATCCTTGCTTTCTCTGCAATCGTCTAACATTAGGGAAAACAATGCATTTAATTTTTCGCCCCGAAGTGAAAATAAGAGAAAACGTAAGAACGAAATGAATTTTAATTTGTTGACTTGAAAATAGCAGAGATCTTACATCAGCTGATTTCAACATTGAGCACTTGCATTGCATTTCTTAGTGTGCGAAGTATTTCGTGATCGGATTTAGCTTGTGTTGTTTTTTTTTATGCTTTTTTGCTTTATGTATACTTTTTCGTAGGTAATAATTTTTCCTGCCGTAGTGGCTCTTATAATACGATTAGTGAAGTAAAAATTGTAAGTGTTTAGTATGAAAAACTCTAGTATTTGTATTTGCATTTGCATTTAATCCAAACTTAGTATAATACAAATCGAAATCATCCAAATACATTATGATAAGTTATTTGTGTTATTGCTAACAATAACATAGATTAGAAAATTTTTATAATATCTCCAAATAAAATAAAACGCTTACTGGTATTTATACTGAGAGTTACTGAGCAGAAGACGTTTTGTTGTACTCGCTATAGTTCCACGTTCGTATTGTGGACTTGATATTAAACTGTAAATATTACATTTTGAAAGATACTGTAAATATAGAAACATTTCTCGGACAATGTTTATGATTGTATAATTCCAAACTCTGAGGAAGTTCTCAATTTCATATGCTTATATTTTTCAAACCTCATAATTTCAGTGATAAATGATAGTTTAAAGAAAAAATTTTTAAATTTATTTTTCAAAATTCTTAATATACCACAAACAGTTTTGGAATGATGGCACCAGAATTTCTCTGATATGCGCATGAGCCGTTCTGAGAAAAATCAAAAACTGAGTTCCTTTCTTGTTGAGTACTCGGTGAGTTGTGGAACTTAATCTGGCAATTTTATTAAGTACGGTTAAACAATATGAATACATAAACAGTTCATACTAATTATTTAGCCCCCGCATTGAGTTAAACACGAAGTGCAAATAAATTATTTTCTTTCTATTTAAAATGTGTAAATAAGTTAAAAATGTGTAAAATTTTGAAGACACCTTTTCAGTATTGTTATGAGGTTCAGAGATTCAGAATTGAAGAGTAATGTCGAGTAATAAACTTTTAACGCCAAATTCAATACAAAATCGGGAATAATGCCTGCTGATTGAAACGAATTAATAAATTACTTTCGAACATTAAAGCACACTCTCAGACGTATGTATGTGCATATGTTGCCCCAGTCGAAGAGTTGCAAAAAGTCTAAAAGCGTTAACGCAATCTAATAATTGTAAATAAATGAATAATAGTGACTTTTAGTGATAACTAAAATAAATAAAAGCCAAAAATAGCGAAAAAGAGTGAAAATGATAGGACAGTTCGGGAAATAAATAAATATAATATTAATAACAATAAATATGTTAAGCGTTTTCAATATCTTAGCGTATTTTCGTAAGAAAACCTTCAAAGAGCAAAATAAATGGTTTATTAAGCGTTAATACATGTTAATTGTAGGTCAAATTGTTGCTTTTTAAAAGATTTGTGAAAATTTTAGTTTCGTTTTACAGCATCCTTTCTATTCTATTGATAGACAACTACACTAAAAGGTTGTGAAATGCACTATTGAGAAAGAGAAAAATATAAGAGAGAGAAACAGTGCTGGCTTTAAAATTTGGTTCTGGGTTACTCTAAATATGTCATTCAACACAATTGAGTGAATCGTCAAAATGGAAAATTACGTTAGTTTAATAGTCTAAATATTAATAACTGCTAAAATAATATTATTATACACATAATTCCTATTCATGAAATAGGACTTACAAGTGCAACATTATAATACGTGTGCATGTACGACAGGGCACTCATCAACTCCAAGTCAATAACTTAATTTTGATTCTCTAAAGGAAGACATTGCTCCTTAATTTACTTTTCTTATTGTATTCTAAGACAAGTATTTCCTTCAAGAACGCCAACTTAAAAAAAATAAAAAATAATGGTTACTACAACAACGAGATACTTCACTTCGGTTCATATGCGCAATATTGCGCAGGCTATACACTCCAACCATAAAAATAAATTTAATCAACAGGGAAATGTTGAAAAGTTTTCTGCCTGTATAATAATGTTAACAATTGTTTTTGTATTTGTATCTACAAATGATAATTTTCGATTTAAATTTCGTTCCAATCTATGCTGTGGAAATGCATAATTTTTGTTGTAAAACTAGTTTGAAGAAAAACTAAAATTAAGTAAATAAATACTAAATTCTATTCAGTCTTTTTAATGGTAAGCTGTTTAGCTTTTTATACATAATCGTTCTCTAATTTTTGATCAGAATGCTTCTAAAACTGTCTTGAATCGCAAAGAACTTACTAACTCTAAAATGTATCTAATAATGCATAGTTTATGAGTGCCGAAGTGCAAAATAATATGCGTAAACATTTGAAGCGCCAAATAATCGGTAGCTAAATTGTATCCATTAAGAATCAAATTAAAATATTTCACTTGTTGACGCACATTGGATTATGTTTATAAACTTTCACGGCTTTAATAGATTGACAAAACATCTTATAAACAAAAGTTTTAGTCAATTTAATTGCATAATTAAGAGAAAAATCTTTAATAGTGATAAGTAAAATGTGATGAAAATGATTTAAATTTTATTATCGGTAACATACAAAATATTAAGATCAGTGCTACTCTTCCCTCTCATCTTTTTCTATCCATCATCAACATCAATACAATTAACGTTTTCATAGAGAATTTGAGTTTAATTACTTAAAATCCAATCGTGTCAAATAATTATGAATGTCCAAAAAGATAATAAAACCACAACCGTTGAATCAAATGTGACAAACGAATCTTTTTGCTCAGATTACAAACCACACTTTAATAGTACAGAGATTAATTCTGTGGACAATTCACATATATCTATCAAAGCCATCGAATTGAACAGTGATCTGCATAAAAATAAACAAGGAGTTAGATATATTGATAAAAGTGAAACCGATCAAAGTTCGAAAAAGTTTGATCAAAGTTCACAAGTTGAAAAAAAATGTGATCTACGAAAGGAAGAAGAAGAATGTGAACCGGTAGTCGAAAAGCAAAGTGGATATATTCAATGTGATGCTGAAGATACACGTATATTTAAGAGTAATCTGTTTCCATTCAGTTTGAATAACTCAACAAACATGTTATCAAATATACTTATGTATCCTAATGAATTACATTCAAATAAACCTATAATTTCGAGTTTAATGCAGCAACCGGAAAATTTGTCAGAATTAGAGGGTCAAGGCCCGAAAATAGATTTTCAACAAATTCTTTTACAACAAAATAATCAACAACAACAACAAATGCAGTTCCATCAGCAACAGTTTAATCAGCAGCAATTTTTAAAAACTCAGTTGATGTATGCAAAATTGTTGAGCCCCACCACGTATTCGGAACCATTGTCCGATAGCGCGTTTCACATTAACGACAACACATTCACTACACACTCGCAACAACAACAGAAAGTTGAAGATAATTCCATTGGTGAAAATGATAAAAACAACAATATTTTTAACAGTACTTATAATGAAAACCAAAATCCAGAATTGCCTACCACTGAATCACTTTGTAATAAGGCTCGACACTTGCCTCAAATTATGTTATCGAATCCAGTTACGTGTACCGACACAGAAAAAAACCATCCAGTATTATTGTTATTAAGAAATCAGGTAAACACCTTGCTTCAAGCGAAACTGTTTCTGGAGAAACTGCTTAATCTAACTCAAGACTTCTTAATAACTGCTCAGCTGCCAAAATTTGCGTACGATTCTAATAATTTAACTGATACAGTAAGAAAAGGTTTATGTTTAAATGACGATTCCATTAATTACATGATAGCAAACATAAAGCAACTAATATTGCAATGTGAAAATGCTAATTTGTATTATATGCGGTCAATCCAACGCCTGCAGCAAACTAAGGAACAGTTTTCACATTGTAACATAAGTTCCGTAGCCACAGCAGCAATGGCAACAGCACTAAAATTGTACCCACCTTTATCTGTAAGATCAGCAACTGGTATTTGCAGTTCCGAAAGTGGGAAAAATTCAGAGTCAGAAAATGCAAGGTCAAATAGTTTTGTACAACAAAAAGTGTTTTCGAAGAACTTTGATGGAGAAGCACTTAACTTAGATAGCTCTTTGAAAGAAATTGAAGACAACATATTAAAGTTCGTAAGTGATACTAAATCCTTTGGCCATTCTGTTGATGATGACAATAATAAAAGTATTGAGTCTGAATGTAAGGAAATGAAATATGAAAGAAACTCACCGAACTGTTTTTGGCATCCTAAATTTATTGATAAGGAACATTCTGTAACTGCTGCTGAAATAATACTTGAATGCGCTGCTCTAACTACGCAAGGGAATATAAAAGATACAGATGCAGCAGTGATTGCTTTGAAATCAGCAATTGGAACGGTTCAGAATGCAGTAGGAAATAAAATATATGAAAATAAAGTCCAAATTAAAGAGAACAAATTGTTTTCTTCATTAAAAAAGAGCAAGAAAGGACTTCCTACAAACATTTTACCAAATTCAAGTGCACCCATCACTACTGTTAAGAACAATGGCATTGTTGAGTCAATGATAACATCAACCCCAAGCAAACATCGACGAAAATCAAATATTGCTCGACGTATCAATACGACGACAGCTACCATGACAGCATCCGATTCATCTACTAGTGCAATATCAAATGCAACGTCAGCATTAGTAAATAAAGTAAGTCAAATTAATCCATATAATAGCCATGTATTCAGTAGTACTGCTACGATTCCAACCTTATCTAATGTCTCAACACATATCGAAAGTAAGTATTCTTCAAATGCAACTATACTTACGACAACAAAATCATTATCAAATGCAGTGACCACTTCAACTGAAAAGTCACCGCCACCAGCTACAATGTCGTCCCCAACAGTAACCGCGCCCGCAACAAGTGCAGTAGCGACTGTTGCTGCTTTTCACGGTAGAACGTTCACAGATATTTTTAAAGCTCAATTCAATGCTCTAACCGCCGCTGCTGTTGTTATGAATGCTGCAGCAATAGGCAATTCTTGCCCTAGTGATATGCCATTCGATTTAAGCATTGGATCAAAATTAAAGCAAACGTAAATACCTTACATTTTGTATTTTCTGTTAAGTATATTTAAGGCGTATTCACACTAAGGTGGTGTATCCGTGGATGAGTACGAAAAATATAGACAAAAGAGTAACAAACTCTAGTAGTCAAGTATAATCATATACATATTTTTCGTTATTCCATGTCAAACGCTGGTACACCTCTCTTTCTTAAATACGCCTACAATTTTGTTTTTTTATATACATAAACGGAAGAAAGTGCATGTTTTTGTGACCCAATTCCTAATCAGTCAAACCCAACAGAAATCCTCTGTTCATATTTTTTGAGCATTTATAAACATTTCCAGAAACGAATATTTTTTAATATCCTTGACACTATTGTGAATAAGATGGATATTTGGTTTGTAAAGATGTTTTTCGCGCAGTAAAAGAAACGTTGCAGTCTATCTGAGTATATATGTTTCACTTTCAATCAGTACAATAACACGAATAGATTTAGAAAAACCCATCTGTTTCTTGTTAGCTAAACTAGTCGTTCAGTTTTAGAGTTAATCGATTAAACTTTCCCACAAGATCGTCTTTTGAGTCCAAACAGATCACACTTATTCCCGAAAAGAGGCTTCTATTCTTATATATGCACATTTTTGCATAGGATTTATATTATAAAATGACGTTCTTATATATGTATTTATCTGATAAAATGTTTTTTTAGTAAATAGGAGAGAGAATACGTGTGAAGAGTATTGAAAGTACAACAATCCCAACACTAACTGTTTTCTTGTTTAATATTTATTTAATTGTTTTTATATTATATTTTAAAATATTTTTTTATTATTACATTATTCATCTTACAATAATGAATAGCTAAATTGAAGCACTATTAGATCTCAGCAGAACATAATCTTCCATCGCAAGTCTAAATCGCGTCTTCCTAGTAATGCTTCCCTAAAGATTTAAAGTTTGTGTTCAATTATGAATTAATTAATTACCGAAGAAATATTAATATAATTTGTTGTGTATTATAATTTGTATTTTTGTTATGGGACGGCGCAACATCTTATTTAAATACTATTTTCCTTTTGCTATAATTTCTAGAAACTTAGATACCAAAAATTCCACAAATTCACAAAGCAACGAATGCAAAGACAGTTCGGACGACAAAAAAAAGCCGCACATCAAGAAACCGCTGAACGCTTTTATGCTTTACATGAAGGAGATGCGCGCGAAAGTCGTTGCGGAGTGCACGCTCAAGGAATCTGCAGCTATAAATCAAATATTGGGTAGAAGAGTAAGTACCGCATTGTGCGCACAATAAATAATTATAATAATTAATTATTATTTAATTATGATTTTAAGTTTTAATCACTTCATATCCATTGTATATGTTGTGTACATAATTTGAATTTTAAATGAATATACATACATACGACATAAAATTACTTGTTTCCATTAAATTGTATTTCTTCCATTTTTTGAGAACTTCTTACAAACACTAAAAATAAAACATTAAAAATGAAAAAAACATTTTCCAAACCGATCTCCAAACACACGTTCCAACTGCATCGAGGGCGTTTCTTAATAAACTTTGATATTATCACGGATAATTTCAACTCAAACAAATTATTCTATATCCAGCATTACCTACCTATCCTATTTGAATGCATATTGGATATTGCCATATTGTATGTAGAAATCTACGCTTATACGAACTATATGGGCTCTATGCCTATGTTCTCATAACAAATTCAAGTACGTCCGCAGTACCGTTAGTGAGAGCTGCAACAACCGGCTCTTACCCTATCTAATAACTATGAAACTAAAAACATATATATTGAATATTGTGTTTAAATATATTAGGAGTTAATATCATGAACCGTTAAAATCAATCCTAAATTGAAACAGCACATATAGTACATACTACTATAGTACGTACTATTTTACTTTTAAAGTAAACAAATTTATAAAATAAAATCATCAGTTTTTGAGTTACACTAGAAAAACGTTTTACAAAGCTTAAAACCTCTTGTAGTGGCATGAACTGACCCGAGAAGAGCAAAGTAAATACTACGAAAAAGCGCGCCAAGAACGTCAGTTGCATATGGAATTGTACCCAGGGTGGAGTGCACGAGACAACTATGGTTATGTGTCGAAAAAGAAAAAGCGTAAAAAAGACAGATCGCCCGCGGATTCGGGAGGTATTGCACAGAATTTTTATAAATATTTTGTTGCTTTTATTTTCTTTAAGTTAATATAATATATGTACTAACAAAACACGCTACACACACATTTTACAGCCTCCTTCTCTTTCCATATTTAATAAATCGTTTTGGCTTTATTTGATTTTTTAGTTTAAATCATTTTAACATTTAACTCGTTTTAACATTTAAAGTTAAACGATTCAAAAAAAAAAAATTTTTTTTAAATCAGAATCAAATCAGATTGAAACTTAGAAAAGAACTTATACTTTTTTATATAGATTTTGTATATATTTCTGAACAATATGAAATTTCTTCAATTTCAAGAAGGAACTTCACGGTGAAATTTTTATTATTAATTTTTAAAGTTCATTTTTTTGAACACTAATTATTATATGTAGTTTTGCTTTCTTAGCTAAAATTATAGAATACTCAAGCAAACGAAATAATAAACCCTTGAGCAAAAAGGAACTGAATCCAGATATTGTCATATATTGTAATTTATAAAGAAATGAAGAGATAAAGGTCGCTTTATTGTTATTTATGAAGAGATAAAGAGAACAATATCGCTTTCAATATTTGATAATATATAATATGAATATATAAATTATTTCGACCGATTGTTGTTTTTTTAATAAATACGTAGGTCCATTTGACAATGTCATATTAAAGTTTTTAGTTTCAGTCTCTAAACTGTCATCTTAAAATATCGTTAACATTTGTTGCGATTGGCAGTAATAAACATAAAATGCGAAAAATATATATGATATGCCAAAATCAACTGTTTCTATTTTAAATTTTTTTTATTTTAAGTTCAAAATGTTTCGCAAAAAAATAAATCTTCATATATCACAAAATCAAAACCAAGATCATTTATGACTGATAAAGACTAATATGATCTAAGAATATAAAATTTATAATTCATTACAAGATCTTCAGAAAAAAAAAATTAATATGACTGTAATAATGGATCCTAAGTATATTAACTACCGCGCTTGATAGTACTCAATAGATTTGATACAACTTCAAGCTCCTATCAAATGTCTTAATTTTTGTTTACTAAGAAATCCAATTTTTGGAATTTAAATTAATTAAATTATTATAAAAAGTTTAATAAGTTCTTTTCTTCGATGTCGATTAGTGCAGAATGAGACTCTTTCGTTACTTAGATGCACCTGGTATTTAAATTTGCTTGTTTTAATTGGTAAAAAAATTTAATTAAAATTTAATAAGGTAGTTAAAATGCATGCGTTTGATTAGGTAAATAGAAGATAAAATATATTAATAATATAACGAACTAATTAACAATAATAGGTAGTACCAATTCAATTTACTAACAAACGCATGACAAAACTATATACATGATGAATTAATTTTAAGTTGATTTTTTTTGAAAAATTGGCCCATTTTGAATTAAGCAATTTCTAATTGTAAAAATTTGTTTGACATTATATACATGAACTAAGAGAAACAGCGTTAACATACAAAATCACAACAAATGAATTATATTAATTTAAAAAAAAATAAATGGAAAAAAATGAAAAATTGTTAATTGGCAATACTTTTGAAATTATTTATTTTTTACATTATCAATTTGTTTTTATTATGTCACAATTTTAAATGAAAAAATTTTAAGTCTATATAATATTTAAAACTTAAGTACAACCAAGAACTTGACTTGCATAATTAAGCACAATTGGTTCTAGCATGCGCCCGAACCCGTTAACGATCAGTCGCTTAGATTATTTTTTTTATTTTTTGAAATGTACCTCACAATAATACAAAAAAAAAAGGAATCTGCAAAGTAATACTGGTAACATCTCCGGGCCGATATTAAATGTTCTCTTCTATGCCAGGAACTTCAACTTCAAATTGTGAACAATTTTCAGCTAAGACTTGAGCTTCTCATTTACGGATTACTGATAAGAGAGACTACCATATGTACAATATAGAGTCAAAGAGCTCAAATGTCAATTTGAGTGTTTCTAGAATTAAAAAAAAACAAATATTATTATTTAAAATGAAATCATTTATTGCTTGAAGTTTGTAAAACAATATAATTTTGTCATATATTTAGTAAAGTGTATAAATTTGATTTTATTAATATTTAATTATACACAATAGAAACCTAAGTAAGTAATTAACTATTTCTTTGTTCTATTTTATATATATCTATTTCATGGTAAATTCTTTTAAATTGAAATAATTCAAAATAAAAAATATAAAAAATATAAAAATATATAAAAAAATCAAATGAAATAAAATAAAATAAAAATTAAAACACATAATTTATTTATGAACAAAGTGGCACGCCTTAGGTCGGGAAGAGCAAGCTAAATATTATGAGTTGGCTAGACGCGAGCGACAATTGCATATGCAAATGTATCCAGATTGGAGCTCTCGGACAAATGCGTCGCGCGGGAAGAAAAGGAAGCGAAAGCAAGAGATCAACGACGGAGGTTAGCAAATAATGGCTTCTTTTTAATGTACTTCTATGCTATTTACCAGAAAATCATTATTTTTTCTCTAATTATTACTTAAATAACATTGCCATTCACAAGCCAAAACAAATGTTTGTACATACATCTGTTCATTTCAAATTAAATTATTAAAAAATTTACAATATATTATTATTCTGCATAAATTGGATACAAGCAAAAGTAATTTACTTATAAATATTTTGAAAAAAAAAAAAAAATATTTTGAAAAAAAAAAAAATGCATGCAATACACTAAACGTTCAAAATGAAACCAAAATTGGAAGTATTTTCTACGTAAAAACTTAACATATTTTTTATTTGTTAAATTATGTTGTATTGTCAAGGTGATTTAAAAACAAAAAAAAAAAAACAAAAAAAAAAACATTTGAAAGACCAATTGAAAGTAAAAATGATTAAATGTTAATGACTAAATAAATAAATTTTCTGGGCCAAAGCATGTCGTTTATATTGAGAAACTTCATGAATCTTTATTTTGTATAAACTTTGTATTAAAATTTGATTAAATTAAACTATTTCTAAAGAAATTTTAGTTTCCATTGGGTCGCCCTATATCGATAATTGTAATCAAACAAAGATATACATATGTAGCAATTATGAAAATTATCAAGGCTTCCCAGGCAAGGCAGCCGCAATTTTCAAAATTCATATTGATTTAGCGATCGATCCAATGACTCTAATGCACTTGTACCAGTAAAATATACATAGTTTGAATTACCTAAACTCATTCTGCCTTCCACTGCAGATATATATATATTTTTTTGATTTCTGATTATTTTATTTTCATTTTAATTTTTGCATGTGTGTGTAACTAACTAATTTTTAATAACTTCTAGCAAATTAATTCTAGTTAATTTTTTTTCTATTTTTTCTATTTGTTCTATTTGTTCTATTTTTAAGTAAAAATTCCAGTAGTTATCCAAATTGCAGTGCGTTTTATTTCTAATGATTTTTTTTTCATTCTACATTTCATTTTACAAATGTGTATTATAGGTTTTATTTTTTTTGTTTTTGATTTAGGAAATAATATGAAGAAATGTCGGGCACGTTTTGGTCTCGATCAGCAGAATCAGTGGTGCAAACCTTGCAGGTATGTATATAAAGACACTCATTTACGTATCGAAAACAAATAGACTTTAAGTTTTTCATAAGGGAAAGTAAAAAAGAGAACACTTACAACACAAGACCTGCCTCATTCGAATATTTGTTTTCAATTAATTTTTACTAAAATTCTTCCTAAGCAAATAAGAAAATATTGCATTATTATGACTACTTTTCTGTTCAAATGAAAATTCAACTTTTTCACACTCGAAAAACAAACTCGGGACCATCCAATCCAATCAGTTATGATTTTTTGTGATAGAAAATTCTTTATAATAGTATTATTTTATATCTTTTCATCAAAATTTAATTGAACTATTTACTCGTATAATAATTATGATCGCTATCTATTCTTCATATATTCTTGATATATGGTATAAATAAACGAAGAATTTTATTGTGACTACTTTTGAGTTTAAATGATAATCGATATGTTGCCTATATTTATCGTATTATTATAGTTATCCAATCTTTTTTGATAAATCTTTTTTATGATAAAAAATTGATTTAATTGTAATTTTTTTATTTTTTAATTTTTTTGTTTTTTTGTTTTGTACATTATATTAATTAAATTTATTAATTATGACCGCTATATTTTTATATTGACATACAAGTCGTTTAAAATGGTACTATTTTCAATAACAAAATCAAAGGTCGGAAAATAATTGCTATAAATAGACTACACCTTTTAAATCATAAAACATAGGATCCGATTTATTACTTATAATTTAAAAGTATCACATGTTTGAATATTCAAGTGCAATAATCTTTTATTAATATTATTATGATAAACAGTACGATTATAAAATTTTAACCTAACAATTATTTTGGGTCACAGTTATTTAAATTAGAACACTATTATACTCAATTGTTTATAACCTTTTTTTGTTTTTTAAATATATTCCGTATAATCCATGTATGCCTGATATGTCTTAATTCAAACTTAAATGGAGATTACCAAGAAAAAAACATATATATTTGTAATATTATATATTTACATATAAATGTAAATTTGTGAAGTACTAGTATTTTGCCACGCTTGCAATTCTAAAACGGTTTTCCCCTCAAAATTACATCCATTACAGCTTATATGCATTAGTGAAGATATTTTTTTAAATAAAATTTAAAGGATAAAGGATGTAATTACTGGTTAAATACACGTAATCAAGTTTTGGTCTATACACGATATAGTTTTTTTTTTTTAACATTTGTTTATAATTTGTACTCAATTTAAAAATAAATTATGCTAAAAGTATTCTGATATTTTCTGTTAAAATGATTTTTTGTTTTTATATAATGCTACACAACTCAAGTTGCCATTAATTAATATCCCTAAAACCATACTTTTCTATAAAACCAATTTTCTCAGCACTTACTATTAGAACGGATTCATTTCAACAAATACATTATATGTTAAGAACACCATAAAATTTTCGAATAACCCAGTTAGTGGTTTCTAACAATATATATATAATATATATACACTATATATAATACTATATTTAATTACCCGAATTAAGTTTTGCATTAACAATGAAAATATTTGTGTAATTATATGATTAATTATAGTAAGAATAGAAAAATAGTAAAAATATAGAAATTCAATTTCTCAAATCTTCAGAAATGATTTTTATCGCAATAAAGAATATATAATTAAGTTTCTTTTAAATTTTACTTTAAAAGCAATGACTTTCGTTCTAGTGATTAATATTAGATATCGAAGCAGAAATAATATATCATCTTTTCTGCTTAACAAATAGTGATTTGTCACAATTACAAGACTTATATAAAGAAATCATTACAAAAATCCAACACTGCCCACTTGAAGCAGTAGTAGTATATTGTATGAAATAGTACAATGCAATACATTGGATCAATAAACGAGTGTAGTTATTGTTACCCAGCGAACATACAGAGATATATATTATTCTGGTACTAGTTATCATAAAACCACTCTCACTCTCACATATGGATTATTGACTGTACCATATATATTCATTGCGTATTCGTAAACTATTATTAATTAGTTTAATTAGTTCTAATTAAAATTTAAAGCATAATATTTTGTGGATATTTCAAGATTCACCTACATGTGTGTAGCAGTTGCAAATGATATGCTTTTTTTTGTAGATTAATACATACATTTGGATTATAAAATATATACGAAATAGTGATCAAAACTTTATCATCTTAAGAATATATTAATATACAAGTATATATATTTAATATCACTTAACTTAATTAACCGTTTGAGTGTTTGATTTCGCGTTACAGGCTAACCTATCACGTCGCTAATACAAATATATTCCTTAGCACACTCCACCTATTCATATGGTATGTTCTCGTACACTGATGAAAGCATTCCCTGTTTGATTATAATATAGTTTTTTTATTTTATTTATGTTATTACAATTATAATATTCAAATACCATTTATTTTAATACTTATACATATATACATCTATTTTATTCTTTGATTTATGCTTAACATACAAACAACAATTTTATTTATATTTTTGAGTATTATATTATTTTTTCCATGCGAATTATTTTTCTCTATAATTATAAAGTTGTATTTACATTATAATAAACATTGTAAGTTATCTTTATTATATTTAGGTATATAGAATATATTAAAATTATTTTTTTTTTTGCACAACGAGATAAATTCTTGAAAAGAGAAAAATATAAAAAATAATTTAGTCACGTTTATGATTTACGGGATACTGCGGCTTAACAACGGATATTGGTATATTCAACTATTCTAAGCAAATTTTTTTACCATGCTTATATATCTTTATATTTGAAATATCTGAACTTAACATGGTAAATTTTTACATTAATAGACAATCGACGATTAACAACAAGTCGAGATGTCAGATGACGCAAAAACCGAAGCATTGCAGCATTGACACATAGCTGCATTGATTAATAGCTGCTCAGAATAGAAAATTTAACCAAAATCCGTCGTAATATCGCGGACCCATAAATGCGTAATCGTTCGAAATTTAAATAGTTGAAATTGAAGAGAGGAGAGATGGCTGTCTCGAATGCAGTCGGTAGTAATGTTTAAATTATTAACAAAAAAAAAACTATAACTGTGGTATATAATTAAGTTTAGGCCTTAGTTTTTGTAAATTAATGTAAAACTAATTGGTTGGTGCTTTCAGTTTCACATTAAGTATGGTATGTGAAGACACCAGTATTTTCACTACTATGATGAAGCAGTTTCCAAGTAAAAGACCACATTTAATTACGTAAACATTTCAATTATAGTGAAAATTTTAAATGTAGAAATTATTATGTGGCTATGATTATATAGGCTTGTTTGGAAATTATAAATTTATATATGATAAATTGTTTGATATTGTTAAAAGAAAAAAATATAATATTTATAATAACTTAAGCGAAAAGCATAAAAATACCAATTTTTCTTTTAAAATGCTCACTTTGTGATAATTGCATGGATCTGCTCAATGAAAAGTCCGGGTTTAAATATAATGACAAGTTCTGGTAGTGTTGGAAGCGGTAACAATGTTGCTATAGGCATCGCAAGTATGCTAAATCCGGTTGTAAGTGGAATTAGTGGTACTGTTATGTTACCTAATTCATCATCATCATCGTCGTCTTCATCATCGACTTCATCAACGAATCATATGCAAATGCTTAGTGCCGTAAGTGGATGTACCAATAACAGCAATAGCGGGAACAGCAATGCTCACAGTAGCCTTCTTAATACAGGATCAACTAGCTCAGGTTCTGTACTCTTGCACTGTGCTCCGTCCGCTACAGGTGGTGCAACTTTAAATGTAAGTGGCGGAGGCGGTGGTAGTGGACCCCAACAATCGTCACCACAAGCTCCACCCACATACGTGAATTTGTAGAGCGTTTGTTTTTAATACAATTTGAACAGAAAGTACAATGATTCCAACGCATCAAATAAACTTAACATGTTAAGGTAGAAAAAAATATTGAAAATATTAATATTTGGTACATCAATATATAATAATGAGAACCATTTATATATGTTATAAGGATGAACAGTACAGAAAAAAATAATACATTATAAAAACTGAAATATTTTCGCTCCAGTTCTTCATTTAGTTAATTCCAAAATGCAACATCTTGTTTCGGTTCGATTAAATGCTTCCTCTGTGCGACATAGCGTTACGTGACGGATTCTAAAAACCTGCTGATAAAACATACATCCGGCTACAGTGACGGATTCAACTTAATTTTTAATGAGCAAACAAAAAAATAAAAAGTAATTTTCGAAATTAAAAAATTAATACTCCAAAGATATTGTTACTATTTTTGAGTTACTATTATTGTTATTGTTACTTTAATTGTTGCTGCTGTTAATGTTGATGTTGTTGTTATTGTTATTGTTATTATTATTATTTATACATATATATTTTTTTTTATTAATTAAACCACTATTATAATTGTTGCATTTGCAATTTTTTATTTTCTCAGATAGATTATGTATTTATTTTTGTTTATTATATTTATGGAACTACGAATAACAATCTAAATGACAGAGTAACTGATTAGTTATTTTGGCTTAAAATTAGCTAATATTTTAACAATAAATTTTAAACTTCCATAAACATGCGACTTACTGTAAAAATGATTTATATAGCTTGTATTTAGTTTTTATTTATTATATAAAATTACAGCGTCTGCACAAATGCGTTTGAGCTCTAGATTATTATATAAAAAGTTTTTCGATAACTCGCAAAAAATTTTAATATATTTTAATATATTAAAATATTTATCTTGTTTTTCGAAATTGATCATAATACTTTTTTGATAATCGCCTTTCTTTTGAATCAAATTTGAGCCCTATGGGCCTACCGGAACCCTTAGTTAGTTTAAAAACAATGAAAGATAGAAAGATATATAGAAATTTGATGTACTAAATATTTGCATTATAATACATATGCCCCCATTTTTTCCACGATATTCCGCCCACTGCATCACCCACCCCCCATACCAAATTTTTATAAAAAATTGTTCATTATCGTTAAAAAAAATTTTCTTTACTCTTTTTAGACCATATTTATATTTATTAAGTACATAATTTGTATCACTTTTTGCAAAAAATAGGAGTTATTTGACGATTTGTTCTCATGTTATTTGCAATTTTAGCGAAATTGATATTTCCCAAAAATTGGGAGAACTTTAAATCCCTATAACTTTTTTACTTCTTATTGGAAAATGATCATTTTTGATTTTTTTTTTAGAGTTTAGGATATTACTATTCATTGTGTGTGAAAAACTTCAATATTGATTATCAATAAAATTTTATAAAAAGTTAGTCATTTTTTTGTGATCATTTTTACTTCTATCGGTGATACTCAAAAAATGTTTCTGAATTTTTTTCATAAAACTATTCCTACTAATATTCAAAAGGTAAAACTTCATAAAAAACAAAAAAAATTAGGCTTCAGAGTGCGAAGGCCTCTGAATAGGTATAAAATGTTTTATACCTATTTCAGGCCCCAGAAATCATTGAAAAAGTACGCAAAATATAACCTTCAATAAACCTCATTTATTTCAACAACGAATCCAAGAAGTAATAATATAATATATACCTATAAAATATATTTAATATTTTATAAATATTTAATTTGTTTATATATCAAATTTCAAGCAAATCGGTTAAAAAACAACGAAGTTATCATTTATTATATTAAGAGGTATGATCATGCTTCGTGCTCAAATATCCAAAGAATTTTTTCGCACACTTATGTCGAATAAGTCTGAAAAATCATAGATATATATATATATATATATATATAGATTCCGCAACAAACAGCTTTCCATATGTAATTAAATTTTTAAACAAATTCCGCACAAAGATAAGTTATTTTCGGTTTAGGTTTTGGTATATTCTATTCTATTCCAGAATATGAGTACAGTATTAGTGTAATGGAGAAGAAACTTGATAATACCTTCGAATGCATTTGTGCAATATATGCTTTACAATGCACTATAGTAAAATATAGCGCCATCTATGATTATGTTATATGTAAAATACTTCAGTTGCAAGGAATTGTGTTTTATTTCGTTTTATTACATTTTTTTTGTATGAATGTTTTAAACTAGTTTTAGTAAAAATTATTAATTAAAATGTGAGTTCTTCAAAATTAACACAAAACTATGGAAGTGTATATACGTTGTATTTGTTTCTAATGTTATGTAATAATTGTTGTTTGGATGTTATAATAAATAACGGAGTTAATTAAAATATTTTTATTTTCTAAATCAAATATATGCTATTATTTAATTAAAGATATAGAGTACCGAATATTAGGTACGAACATTCCTTATAAAAATTATTTGCTATCATTATATATATGTTTAATAATTAGAATTTTGATTTAGTGTTACCACTACAGAAAGGAGAGAGCTTCTCAGATATTTAGTTATAGAATTTCAATTCTTCTTATTATTAATTTAATGTAAGATCTTTTTGCTTACTAAAGGTTATTAAAAAGATCAAAAAAGTAATTATCAAGCAAAAGTCAGATGAAATATAATGATTAAATGAAATTTTTAAATTCAAAATTTTGGACGTAAAGTATGTAGCTTTAAAATTTCTCTGCTCATTTTTAAATAATTTTCATGCGACAAAAAAAAAAAAATAAAAAAAAAACATGAAAACATTTGTGGTTTGTTAATTTTAGAATATTATTACTTTGCTTTATATTTTTTTCGAAACCAATTTTAAATAATCACTGCATGCGCATGCATTGGCTAAATATATGATATATTCTTCTATATATATTTTTCTTCAGTTATCCAAAAATCGTTCGTTATATTTTTCTTCTCATATATGTATACATAAAAATATTTTTCAAGAATTTAAAGTTATAAAATAATGTTTTTTTTTTGTTATAAATGTAGACGTAAAAAGAAGTGTATCCGATATATGGAAGTGGCGAATAGTTATACTGATAAAGATGAACAATTCAATGGGTCCGAGGATATGGATGGACATATAAGTGATGATGATGATGAAAATGACAATATAGGCAGTTGTGATAGCATTGATGACAGCAAAACTGTTGATGAAGATTCCGAATCACTTAATCAATCATTGTCTAGTCCAGGTTGCTTAAGTGGATTATCCAGCTTGCAAAGTCCATCAACAAGTTTAGCTAGTCCACTGAACTTATTAAATAGTCCAGCAGCTCCAACAGCATCTTTATTGTTACCTAATAATGACCAGCAGCCTCCGCAACAAGTTTCTTTACATAATTTAAATCAAAATATTGGAACACAACAAACAATATCGCACCAACATCAAAATCCGCAGCAAACACAACAAAAACCATCATCTTCGAATCACAAACAAAATACTGCTACTACTTCTGCTACATCTGAAAAATATGAAACGAGTTCTACTTCCACACCTGCATTAATGTCATTACTGCCAACCCACTCAACTACCTCATCGACGTCAAGTATTGCATCTAGCTCCGGATTAGGAACTGGATCTAGTAATTCAAGTACGTCATCTCCTGCATCTTTTTCAGATCGAATGATGCGTTCACTTTTGAGTTCTAGTCCTGCGATGTTGCTAGGAAATCGTTTTAGTCATTTGGCTATGGGAATTAATAGCAATGAGCATCATACTCCACATCATCTTTCAGCAGGTTTAGCAACTGTGGTCAACAACAATGGTTACACAGTTGATAGTAATAGCGTTAAGTCTGCCCATGATGTATTAGTAGATTCGTTACCATATAATAATCCATTGCTTCCCAATGACGCGTCTATGAAGGATTTAGTATCGATATCAACGGTATTACCGTCAGTAAATAAACTAACGAATACTGGTATAATACCTCTTCCTGTTACATGCACATCAATTCCTTCACCTGTTAACTTTTCACCCGCAGATCTACTATTTGAAAAATCAATTCCACATCACCGGAGTCCAATTGGTGCAAATCCTAGAGATATAAATAATCCACTTAGTATAAATCAATTAACAAAAAGAGGTGATAACAACTACAATAATTATAGTAATAATCAGTCCGATGTGAACGTTATAAATAGCAGTAGTAATAGCAGTTTCTTAGCTAATCCATGTTCCACTTTGGCAGCTAATACTAATACAAAATGCACAACAGAGGAGAATACTACAATAGCTAGGCCAATAGCAGCAACAGCAACACCAACAATATCGTCAATTTCAGATTTAGGAGCAAATGAACGCATGCAGCAACGCTCACCATTAAGACAAGATACCACAAGTTCACTTCATCTGAGACTTCAGCAAGAATACAATAGCCATGTGCATAATCATAATTACATACCACATGCGATATTTAAAAATAATTTTAGTCATTTTAGTCATCGCTTAGTCTCAGTTTCTGGGGAAACCACTACAAATACTAATCAAAGCAGTGCCATTACACAAACTAATAATAATACACACCTTGTTGAGAATTCAGCGTTAGCCGTTTTGGAAAATTCCAACAGCAGCCAAAGTAGTAATGTCAATAACAAAAACAATGGCAGGAGCGGCGATGGAAGTGGGAGCGGCATCATAATCAATAACATTAGCAGCAGTAGTGAAGCCCAGGAAAGTAGCAAACAAGATGCAACTTCATCAAGCAAGGAGAATGGTGCAATAAGCGTTATATAACGTTTGCAAATGGTAGTGTATAATGTGTTAGTAATAATAACAGCAATGATCATATTGCTAATAGCAACTTCTTGAACTATATATTGAACTGTACGTATAAAAAATACTAAAGAAGATTGTTTATCTTTATATTGAAACACAAAACTAAATTATAAAAATTATAAAAATGATGGGTATGAGTCAAAACTTTGCCCTTTCTAAGGTATAAGAAAGATGAGTTATTGAAATTGTTTTTTGTTTTACAATATATTTATTTATTGAATTCACTCTTTTTAAAAAAAGGTGAACAGTTGCTTAAAAAATACTTTAAATTTGCAAAGTTTAAACTTAACTTATTTATTTGGAAAAATACTTTCGGAAAAGTTCTCTTTCTTATGCAAACGAAATTTGAATTTACAAAGTATATAAAATTGTATCAACATGACAATGTAAATCTGTAAATACCTATTTTTGTTTATATTGATATTATTTGTTCTCTGCATACCTTATATTTTAAGTACTGCATGTAGAGTTGTCTGAACGTATTTCACTGCATATTATTTATCAAATAGTTAAAGTTAAAATAACATTTTTTTACAATTCGTCTTTGTTAATTGAATAAACTAAACATTTTTAATTAAAATATGTATGTATATAATATGTAAGGGCGTATTTTACTTACTTATCGTAATTGTCAGATGTGCAGTTTCCTTTAGTATTCGCACATACGGATCTTTTGTCACTGGAGTACTGGAGTACTTGCTACAAACTTCAAGAGATGTAAAAAATATTCGTTATACGATGGTGTTCACAAAATGTTTCATACGCAGTCTCATAATTTGTAACTAGTCAGGAAAGGCGTCTTAATCATTTTCAATCTTTATCCTTAAATTTTTTTCCTGTAATTGAAATAATTACTGACAGTAAAAACTTCAGTCAATCCCTAAAATAGACGACTACCCATAATGAACGTGTCGTCTTCCTTGTCGTTAAATTAGACAAGGTCTTGACACGGTTTGTGGAGCTTCATATTTTGTTGTGTTAAACCGAAAGATTGACTTTTTGATCGATTTAATGTTTACATTTAGTTCATTCAGTTCGCGATTCCTTTTATAACCGGAGTTATAAAAATTCACGACTGCTGACCAGCTAATTTTCTCAAACTAAATCTAAAATTAATAACATTTTTTCGAAGCTAGATCGATCAACACGAGGAGTATCTGTCATACTCAAATAAAAGTGGCTTTTAAATTTTCATTTCCTGGCAGGTCATTGCGAAAGCTTGCTTTAACCTATTTATGCAGCTAACTAAAATGAAACATAGAGTTCAATAAAATATTCACTAGTAATTCTTTAATTTGTAATATGTTAAATTAAAAAACAACTGCCAAATGCAAATCACTGTTTCCAAAATATTGCATTTCAAAGTCAAGCAATAAGAAAAACGTCGAATACTTTCTGTCCACTCTATTTAATTTACACAACATTCTTTTAAAATAATGCAGGTTACTACTTTCTGCGGCGATTAACATTTTCTTTGGCTTGCAAGTACGCTCTATCATCTCTAAAATTTAAGCAGTAGTTAGTTATATAAAAAAATATGTTCTATGGTATGCACTGAAAACTTTACGATACGATTTACGAAGAAAACAGTAAAAATAATATAAATAAAAAAGAATTAACAAAATTTTATATTTTCAATATTAATTAATAGACTTGAATGAAACTTTGAACGAATTTATTTTCAATATATCTATAATAAGATTTATAAATATTAATAGCGACCTTTATTATTCATGTTTGATTAGTAATTAAATTAGATGATTTAAACGTCTGAAGTAAAACAAAAAAGTTTTAAACAGTTTTTGGCTTACTTATTTAAAGTAAATGAAGAATATTTATTCGCTCTTTAGAGTAAAAGTTGATTAACAATTAAAAGAGTTATAAAATTACATATTTTGAATCAAAACAGTATGCAAAAATGTGAAACAAAATACAATACCAATAATCTGATGTTTAAATTAATATATATATAAACCGTATTAAAGGCAAACGAAAGTCTTGACAATGTAGCCAAATAAGTCTCATACAAAATTAAAAGAAATAAACTAAAGAACACAATAGTAAGTCCTTGTCAAGAGTCTATTGAATTAAAAGGAGTTAATAAAATAATTTCAATTTCACTCTTATAAGAAGTGAAAAAACGTAGCATTGTGATGGATTCAATGATGGACGGGCTTAAATTTTATATGTGGTCTTTATTTCTAAATTTAACTTTCTAATCTGTTATTCAGAGTTGAAACCGTATTAAGAGCAACCACTGCTGTTTTTTTTATTTGACCACTGAGACCAATAATATTATTTAAATTAAAGTAGCAGAATATCGCAGAATATCCAAGTTGATACATACACAATATACAAATAAAAGGTCTTAAGAATCATATGATACTATAAAAATTAAATTTAATTTAAAAATTTAATTTAATGACTTGAATTACACTTTTTGCAATTATTTAATTATATTACAAATTTGGTTGTATAGTAACTACAATATTCACTAACATTCAGAGAGAAGAAAAAAGTGTAGCGTCAGTAGGTAAATTTATGTAATTAAGTTTAATTCCCGCCTTATAGATATTTTTCAATGTTTTTAAACATAACTGTATCATATGATATCATATTATTTGAAAAGCAGTGTAAAATTTTAACTGATTTCAATAATACCATTTTCCATTTATTTTAATTTAAACATTGGATGGTAGATTTATTTTAATACATGAACCAACCTGTTACCTTGTTTTTTAAGAATGTAACAATGTAAAAATTCTAACATTTTAAATTATTTATTTATCTACTATTTTAAAATGAAAAATAAAACAGAAATTTGCAAACATTTGAAAAAAGTAACATATCCAAAAATATATAATAAACTACCATATATATCAACAATTATTGTTTTATAGATTATCAATATATTTTTAATATCGAAATTCGTGTGTCATCAATATTGATTTTAGAACGCAGTATCAAATTTATTTAATTGATTTAAATTCAAAATAGTTGAAAGTAAATACTCGTATAATGTTTCATTATTTCCAATCTTTTTTAGTTATTTTTTTTTCATCAGTGTTTTTATGAAGTAAAAACAGTCAAGTTAACTTCTAAAATGACATACGTATGATAAATGGCTATTTATTAGCTTTATGTAAGAAGAAATAAACTGAAAGTTTCATATATAAAGAAGTAAATTTAATATTAACAAGCAATTAAAATAATTAATTTTTTCAAATGAAATTATAAGTTAAGTTCTACCATCCTATTTTCATTTTAAAGTCAATTAATAATTATGCAGTTAATTTTTTAGAATATCGTATATAATTTATATCGTGTAATTTAATTAACATAAAAACATTTTTTGTAATAAAAACCTATTTTTTTTTAAATTTAACTATATATATTGTAAAGCTGTGCCACTGTTAAGGCCATAAAACGTATTTATTTTGCATGGGATCCATGAATATTAATTATCTAGTACTATTTATTGAAAACAATACGTGAAATAAAAGGAATATTAATTAAGGACATAATAGTCATAATGCTCACACGTTCGTTGTATTCATATAACACATATCGTATATGCTAAATATATATATATGTATATATAATCTCTATATATTTTTATTTTTTATAAAAATTTATGTTTTTTCATATCTAAAAACTTAAGTTAAATTTATTAGAAAAACGAACTAGAGTGAGAAAATAATTATATAAATGTATTAAACAACTCTAAAAGTTTATTAAGATAAATTAACACTTATAAGCTAAGTAGCAAAGTAATGAAAAGTTTAGTGCGCATATGCAATTAAAATGTATAAAAAAATCTTAGATTAATAATGATAATTAAACAAAAGAAAAAATGTGTAAGTTGCCAATTCGAAAAAGACTGTTTACATATGTAAAAAACTGTGTGAAGTATATAATTTAAAAAAAATATGTTTATGATTAAGACAATCCTTGTTTAATGAAAAAAACTAAGTTTTAAGTCTAACACATCTATGAGTTTTAAGTTGCTTTTCAATAATTTTGGTGCAATATGTGACTCTTCTTAGCAATTTGACTTATTAATTTCTCATACAAGTAACATACAATTTGATTGATTGATTGATTGATTAATTGATGGATTGACTGATTGATTGATTGATTGGTTGATTGATTGATTGACTGTTATCATGAGCAATTATATAAAAGAAAACAAAATTTAACTAATAGAGAGATCTGATATAGATGCATTAAAGCCTGTTACATTTAATACTAAATAACAGATTAATTATTATTATACTTGAGCAAGTACAATATTTATGTAATGAAAAAAAAAAAAAACAAAAACAAAAACAAAAAAAAAAGAAACCTTACGAAGTAATAATATTAATCACTTCAAAATATGAAATATGAAATTATAATTTGTGTATTTGTAAATATGTATTAAAAAGTTTTTTCTGATTTATACCTCAAAAACTTGTTTCAGTTAAAGTATATAAAAATAATTATTCAAATGTTGCGAAATTTTAAATAACTTAGTTTATAATGTAAATGTCATAAGTAAATAAACTTTATATTAAGTTCTATTTTATTTTGATTTGTTAAGAACTGTAATTGTAAATTGTTAAAAAATTATGTATTCAACAACATGATCTTCCATTTACTGTGTATTATGTTTTACTTAAAATTTATTTTTCTATTATTTATAGTTTATTTTACAGAATTATATATAAATATTTTTCTACTTTGTTTTTAGTTTAAAATCTAAAATTACGACAACGATCTAGCGTTTTCATTTGTCTCCCAAAACTTAAAGTACGTATTTTATACATAAACATTGTAAAATTTAAACAATCTACAATTATTTATATTTTAAAGTAAATAATTGTAAAAAATGAAATATAAAAATTATCTGCAATATATTTTTATTAATTGTTTTATCACTGGTAAGCAAATTAATTTTATTAATTAATTTCTAACATATATAGTTTTAATGGATTTTTAACAAATTGCTGCGTGCAAAAATTTTATTATTTAGAACAATTTAAAATACTACAACAAAATAGATTAATTGTCAAGCAAAATTAAGAATTTCACAACCCATCCATCGAAAATTTTTAATTGAAGTGTAAAAATATAACATATTTAAGCAA